ACACCATCCAGATGCCGCAGGCCAAGGTGTGAAAGGCACGCAACTTTCACAGTCAGCCCAGAGACAGTCTCCCCAAGACCAATCAACTGTGAACAGCCAACATCAAGGTACCCACCCCAAAACTCTGTTGACTCAGGTACAAATGACACTGAAACCCAAAGGATTCATGGGCAAGTTTCAACAGGCCCCGAGATACTCAGCACCTCTGGACAGGTCTCAGCAGAGCTGGCAGCAGTAAAGTCAGACAGACCAAGATGGGAAAGGCACCCAACTTTCACAGTCAGCCCAGAGACGGTCTCCCCAAGACCAATCAACTGTGAACAGCCAACATCAAGGTACCCACACCAAAACTCTGTTGACTCAGGTACAAATGACACTGAAACCCAAAGGATTCATGGGCAAGTTTCAACAGGCCCCGGGACACTCAGCAGCTCTGGCCAGGTCTCAGCAGAGCTGGCAGCAGTAAAGTCAGACAGACCAAGGTGTGAAAGGCACCCAACTTTCACAGTCAGCCCAGAGACGGTCTCCCCAAGACCAACTGACTGTGAACAACCAACATCAAGGTACCCACACCAAAACTCTGTTGACTCAGGTACAAATGACACTGTAACCCAAAAGATTCATGGGCAAGTTTCAACAGGCCCCAGGACACTCAGCAGCTCTGGGCAGGTCTCAGCAGAGCTGGCAGCAGTAAAGTCAGACAGACCAAGGTGTCCAGAAGTAGAGACTGATGTCACAGTGTCCAGCAACCACCAAACACTAAGAAACCTACAATACGACCAGCTGGGCCAAGCCATTATGGAGAATTACTTGGCAGGGAGAGATGCCCAACCCCACACTGAACAGACAATAAAGGCAGTACGGCCTCCCTCACCCATTAAGCCCTGTATGCCAGTTTTCCTGCATGACCAACCCTTCTCTGACCCATTCTTCCCAAGTACCTCCATGGCCTACACCACCTCCCAACAGGCCCAAATTGTAGGTGGGGATAAGAAGACGACAAGCCTTGAGATTTTGTTTTCTTCTGAGGGCAATGAACTTCTAGACACCTGCTCATTTGGTAATAAACACCTCACAACAAGATGTGTAGATGAAAAGAGAGATCAATGCAATACGTTACCTCTGTTGCAATTAGAAGATCGATACATGCTTTCTGAGCTTAATACAGATTCTGAGCTGCTAATTCATACATCATCTTGTGCACCAAAGTATACTGAGGTGTCTTGTGTATCTGAATGTACTGAAGTGCCTTGCTTACCACAAGATGGAAAGGTGATTTGCATACCAGAAGATCCTAAAGTGCCTTGGGTGCCAAAAACAACTGCCTTGTATGTGTTTAGATCAGAGTTCTTGGGACTGTCTGCAAAAGGATACGGAGGCTCTCCCACCATCATTTCCAGAGGCTCCTCAGGTGTTTTGGGTACAAGAACAGCCTAAGACACCTTCTCCAGAAGATAAATCCATCTGCTGTAGAGCTTCAGGAAACTTGAGAAAGGTTCACTGCACTAACGGCCACACATTTCGATCTAAAAGGTTCAGTAAGCGTGCTAATTGTGCTGTCTGCTCAGACCCCACAGGGGGATTTGGACGCAAGGCATACAAATGTATGCACTGTAAAATTTTAGTTCATAAGAAGTGCCATACACTCGTCAGAGTTCCATGCAAGCACCATACTTTGCATGATGAATGCACAATGCCAATAAACCAGGTTTCCATGGCTTTAGATCCCAAACAGGAAGTAGTCTCACCAAATCCTAAAAGTCATGTGGGTATGCAAGAAATAGATGATGAGAATGAGACAAATACTGGTGAGGAAAATGGCAGGCCTTTGTGCTCTTCTGCTCTTAAAGACTTTGACTTTCTCCGTGTCCTCGGGAGAGGAAGCTACGGTAAAGTTTTACTAGCTCGGCATAAAACAACAGATCACCTCTATGCCATGAAAGTGGTGAGAAAGGACAATGAAAACCTTATTCGTCTCCAGGTAGAGAAGCAAATATTGGAGAAGAGCTTGAACCACCCTTACCTGGTTGGCCTGCATTCCTGCATCGAGACACCAACCAGATTTTTCTTTATCCTGGATTACATCAGTGGAGGAGACCTAACATACAATCTGCAACAGGTCAGAATCTTTCCCGAAGCACATGTGAGATTCTACTCCGGGGAGACCTCCTTAGCTATCAAGTTTCTTCATGAACATGAGATATTACACAGGGATCTGAAGTTGGAGAACTTGTTACTAGATGCGGACGGACACATTAAAATTACCGATTACAACCTATGTAAGGCAGGACTGAAGGCAGGCGAGAAGACCAACACTTTCTGTGGCACACTCAGTTATCTGGCTCCAGAAATCATCAGAGGCAAAAGCTATGGTTTCAGTGTGGACTGGTGGAATCTTGGAACAGTCATGTTCGAAATGATGGTGGGAGAGCCTCCGTATCCTTTTGCAGACAGTCCCAAGAACTCTGATCTAAACACATACAAGGTATTGCAATCTATGTTAGAAAGAGAAGTCCACATTCCACATCACCTGTCTGTCGAAGCCAGAAGCATCCTCAAGGGTCTTCTGAAGAAGGAGCCAGAGGTAAGATTGGGCTGTCACCCTCAGAGAGGATTCATCGATATTAAAGAGCATCCATTCTTTAACAATCTGGACTGGAACATGATGGGAAAAAAGCAAGTGCCTCCTCCCTTTAAGCCAAGTGTTGGTACAGAATTCGGGATAGAAAACTTTGACCCTGAATTTACCAACGAACCTGTCCAGCTCACACCTGATGACAGTTACTTTGTGAACAGCATAGATGAATTTGGGCTTTGAGTACATCAATCCCCTTTTCACATAAGAAGAATGAGTCTGATTGTCACCTTCCAGTTAAGCATCTGTTTGTATATCTAATGCATGACAAAACTTGTTACCAGCTTGCATTCAACTGACACTTTTATAATTGCCTGGAAGATCATTTTAATTTCCTTTTTCTATATGAAGATGCCCTGCTTGATTTTGGTTTTTGGTTGACAAAGTTACTTTTTATGATAAGACTTAACGATGAGGCAATTTCTTTTTACCAAGTTTGTAAACACATTCTATTTGTTGCTTGGAGACATATTCCTGATTTTTTTATTTACTATACTGGAAAATAATATCTCATTATGCTTGTTTTGCTCCCAAACTATATGACCTATATATTTAGGCCCCTGATTTTGTAATATTCAGGGAAATCCAAAAACAATAGTAACAACTTTGAACAACTCTGCAGAAACCACATACATTGTAGCTCTGTCTCCTAGGTCAAACTTTAACCATCTTAAAGTATTACACCATAGATATACTTTCTAATATTTAGTGGACATCAAAACAATAATGCAAAGAAAGTATTTCTCCAAATAAGGCTAAAATCCCAAAGGAGTTCTAATGTGGACTCAGTAGGAAACATTTTAAACAAATGCCTTGTGTGAGTATTTTACATTCTGAATGCCCAGTGGCAAAGAGCAGCTCTTAAAAGCAGGATCAGAAACATATGTCTGACATGTCAGAGTTCTCTGCAAGTTCATGTTGTGTACACTGATTTTTGTTTTTAAGCAAGATCCGAGTACTACCAGAAACACAGATTCCTTGCAAATGAACATGTCAATCCTTAGAAACATTTTCTTTTGATGTTTTCCTTACTTTCAAATTTAGCTATTTGATGGAATGATAAAATATGACTCCAAGCTTGGGAAAAGTTACATTTCTAATGAAATGGGGCATCCAAATAAAGAGAGAAAGATAACTTAGTAAATGCCTACACATTTTAAGTCATCCTAAATTTAAAACTGGATAGCTTGCCTAGAATTAAACATTATCAAGCTTGTGCCATTGTAACTTATTTAGACTATGATGGTTACTTTTCAAGTCCTTTGCACAGAGATGGCACTGAAACAGAGCAATGCTGTATCTGGCAACTCTTGAAATGACAAATTGCTAACTACAAATTGTAGTAAAATAATTTGAAGAACTCTGCCCCAGAAATGAACTGTACTTCTATTTTTATTAAAATTCGTAGTTAGCAATTCATTATTTACACAGCTGCCAGATACAGCACTGATCTGTTTCAGTGCCATTTCTGTGCAAAGGACTTGAAAAGTAACCACCATTGTCTAAATAAGTTACAATGGCACAATCTTACTGAAGTTTAATTCTAGCTAAGCTATGTAGTTCTAAATTTAGGATCACATGTGTAGGCATTTACTAACATATCTTTCTATCTTCATTTGGATGCCCCGTTTCATTAGAAATATAACTTTTCCCAAGCTTGGAGTCATATTTTATCTTTCCATCAAATAGCTAAATTTGAAAAGTAAGGAAAACATCAAAAGAAAGTGTTTCTAAGGATTGACATGTTCATTTGCAAGGAATCTGTGTTTCTGGTAATACTCGGATCTTGCTTAAAAACAAAAATCAGTGTACACAACATGAACTTGCAGAGAACTCTGACCTGTCAGAAATATGTTTCTGGTCCTGCTTTTAAGAGCTGCTCTTTGCCACTGGGCATTCAGAAAGTAAAATACTCACACAAGGCATTTGTTTAAAATGTTTCCTACTGAGCCCACATTAGAATTGCTTTGGGCCTTTGGCCTTATTTTGAGAAACATTTTCTTCCCATTATTCTTTGGTCCTCCACTTAAATAATAGAAATGTTATTAATGCTATAAGCAGCAATTTCCAACCTTATGAATGCTTCTGAACAAATTTTAAACACATGACTCTTATAGATCATCTTCTCTGTTGCCCCAGTAAAGCCTTATCATTTGCACCAATGATTTATGCACAAAAGCAGAATTTTTCTTCAATGAAGTCAAACTTTATTCAGGGTGTTATGTGGTTTTTAAAATTTTTACGTAGTAAGATTTACTCTGTGTATTTTATGGGGAATTTCATTTCAAAAATTTTAACTATTCTATTTTTTTTTTTGCAATCTTTTAGTGTAATGGCACTTATTATAAAAAGTCTTCTCAAAATGTTTACCAGGAAAATAAGGCAGTTTACAATCAGAATAGTTGACCTTTTGATATTCTAAGTCATAATTTACTTTGCATAAGCCTGCGATCGGTTCTCTTTATTCATATTCAGCCTGAATTCAATTTCAAGTACCTGCTTCAGTAATGCTACAGTTACTTTATACATTTGTTTTGTCATGCAGCATGCAGCCTTGGTGGTCATGATACAACCTGTATTTGTGTACCACTTTTTTTCTCATGTTAAAAACCTTTAATTACAACATGTAATTCAAATCACAGCCATGAAAAGATTTTGCAGCCATATTGTAAAACCGCCATGGTGATCATACTGCATTTTCACTAGTTTCAATCTGGAGTAAACCTAAAGTGAAATCTGCCAGCTCCAAACCAAGACTCATGGTGACTTTCAATTGCTTTCTGCTTCACTCCTCACTCGCTGAAGATCTGCTGTATTGGACTGCTTTAAGTAATGAACAACGTGTGGATGCAATAACAACTGGACATGGTTGTATATAATATGAATCTTAAAAATTCAATACATCGTGTGTTGTAATAGACATACTTAATTCACTCATGTGAAGTAAACATTCTCTGAATTTTGGGGCCTGCAATCTTTTGTTGCTTCTGTGTGAACCATCATGGTTCCTAACTGCCGTTATGTTTTGGCCACAACTGTCTCCTAAGTCTTCAATTAATACTTGATTTAATGGAAACTCTGTGAAGCCCAGCCTCCAAGGGATTGTAACTTGGGTGAAAAATTCATGGGATAAAGTCACTGACAGCTGTGTTTCCTATGCCCTGTGAGCAGGCTACATGGATGAGATGTGCACATTTTAAGAGAGCTCTACTGCTGGACCTGAGAGGCTGGGGCCAATATTTCCATAGAAATGGAATTTCAAGACATTCAGTCCATAATGTGGGGTTTGGAGAACTATAATAGTGTTCTAGAAAAAGGTGACAAGACTGTATTTGAACAAATACGGATTTTTGTATATGAAAAAAATAAGATTACCCTGAAAAATAAGTCCTGGTGCATCTTTTGGAGCAAAATTTAAAGTAAGAGCTGGTCTTATTTTCAGGGAATAATATTTTTGAACTCTAGTTCACCCAACAGGGTCATCATGGGCAGCTGAGTTACTGCACCTGAATGAATAATATTTTCATGGTATGAGATGACCCAAGATAGCTTGGGCAGGGCATATGAATGAGTACCCTCTACAGTGGTCAAGCAAATGGCAGACGTGCAGGCCCTTTAACATCTGCTTTCTGCCACCTTCTCTCTTCCAATAGTCATGACTGATGTCTGAGTGTTCACTGTGGGAGCAGCACTTTGGGTGCAGTAACTCAGCTGTCTATGGTGACCCTATTGGTGAGCTAGAGTTTGATTCTTTTGTCCCTCAAAGGCCACCAGCTTGGTGCTACTAGGAGGTGGTGGAGCCCTCAGGAGTTGGAATCTAGTGAAAGGTCTCCAGTCACTGGGCAGAACCCCCTGAAGGGGACAGCAGGATCTCACGCCCTTCTTCTTCTCTTCCCAGCCATGAGGTGAGCAGCTTTGTTCTGCTATGTGTCACCCCACACCCTGGCCCATGATATGCTGCCAGCAGCCTATGCCAGTGGGCCAACCGGTCACAGAGTAGAACTTCCAGAATTGAACCACAATAAACATTTTGTCTTTATAAGTTGATTACTTCAAGTATTTGTTACAGTAGTAGAAAACTGAATACCAGAGTGGAGCTGTGCTATACACTATATTTCAGAGGGGAATTAACTAGAGGAACAGAGATACCAGGAGACTGACATAAATCAAATGCCTTCACGTAGAAACACAACAGGTGCTCAATGCTGAGGCTATACCGTGACTTCCGACTTCAGTGTTCCTTTGCCCAGCCCTGGGTGTTTTATGTTTTGCTTATTATATGAAGGATTTTTAAATGATTTTCATGTATAAGTGGTCCATATTTATTGTGTTATATATTTCTCAGATTACTTCTATGAAGCATGGGCTCCCCAGCTTCCAAGCCTGGGAGTCACACCAACAGCACTCCTGAGTCTCCACAGCAGATAGAAACTGTCAGTTGCCATAATTACATGATTCAATGTCTAATGATAAGTTTCTTCCTATATGCCAACAGGAAATATATATACACATACATGTATGTAATTTATACACATTCAGAGGCATTCATAGAAACCTGTTCACACAGAGACAAAGCAGATATATATCTACTATACAGAAATTTATTAGAGAAATCCCTGATTAACATGGCTAGGATAGAGAACAGGGCACCCTCATTAGAAAAAAAGAGAACTGACCATGAGTGCATGGTGATATCAAAGAAAAACAAGCTTCCCTGTGGTAAGCTCCTAGAATTTTGAAGTTATTACAGAAGATAGTGCATTCTGATCAAACTGTCAAAGCAACTACAGAAATATACCTGTCGGGAAATACCACTCAGGAAAAATGCATATAAATTTTATTAATATAAATTTATAATTATAATATTTAATAATAATAATTACTTGATTCATAGTAAATGAAAGAAATATGTTTCTCTTACTCTTAAAATTTCATGTGTTCATTGTAAAATTCAAGTGTGAGTTATTTGATAATGTGAATTTAAAGAAAGTTGAATATCCAAAATAAAAAGAGAAGTAATTTTGTTGTTAAATAAAAATGAACTACAGTTGATATGAGATTATTTTATGTTAAAAGGGCTTATCTAGTTTACATGTGTTTCATGGAAGATCTTTTAAATTTTGTAAAAAGTTTGTTCAGGATTCGTATAAAGCAAATGCTATTATAAAATTGTTTTGACTTGGGGGAGTGTGGGGAGGGGAAGATAAATGCCTGTGTGTAGCTGAAAATGTGACCCCCACCACCCCCAAGCCAGTAACTTCAGTCTCTTAGTCACCCTGGTAATAGTTCCTGTTGCAGTTCTGATTGCTTCTATCCACTAGAAACAGCTGGCTACTGTAATGCACAGCTGGCCACTGTGGGGCATACTGTAAGAACCAAAGACAGCCAAGTACTCTGTGTTTGGACTTTCCCTTTGCAATCCCATAAAATCCTCTCTCCTTGAGCCTTCGGGGTCTGATACTCTCGGAATGATCCTGATCAGTGCTCGGCCATGTAGAATAAATCTGCCTCCAAATCCTAGGTGTCCTTTTGGTGTTTCTGCTTAATGTTGCACAACTCATCTCAGAAACAATTTGCAAATATATCTTTCAAATTATTAATATTAGTTTTTTAAATATTTTCCTGAAACATCATCTTAGATTATATAATCTAAGTTAGTATTCATTTTATAAAAAGAAAGTAAAAATATGTTCAAATTCATATTGGCAGAGATTTAAGTTTTCTTTACAAGAAATTATTTTTTCTAAATTTCTAATGTTTAGCAAATTAATGTTAATTTTAGATATTATACTGAATATTATACATGATATAAGAAATATATAGATTATATATAATAGATTATTATGCAATCATAATAATATATAAATGTAGATTATTATATATAATCATAAACTGAAAAATTGATTTTGCTAATCTGAGAACTTTACAGATAAATATTTCTGGAAATTTCTCTCATTTAAAGGGATTATTTTGAAATTTGATATATTTATATGAGCAATAGAACTGCACTGAAAACTTTGATGCACTAATTTTATCATATTATTGTCTGACCATACTCATATAAAATAATTATTATGGTGCAATAAAAAGTCATTTAGTCAGTAATATTACAACATTCCCTTATGAATATATTTTATGTATATTTGTGCTACATAAAATCATATAAATTTATTTTCCAGATCTATGTCACCCATCTCTTATCATTTTAAGAAGTTCAGATCTATGCTGTCTCCATTCAACTTCTTTATACAACCTCAGAAGTTAGCCTACCTTCACCAAAAAAGTGAAAGGAAATTGAATAAACATTACTGTACGTCATATTATCAGAGGTGTAGACATATAATTAAAGTATTGGAAATTACCTTGTAAAATAGTTCTAGCATTTTTTAAGTTTAGAATCTTTAAAATTGTGTTTTGGAAATATTACTTCACTTTTTTCTGTGTTCGACAAATATATATCATAAGATAGGCCCAATGTTTCCCATATTTATCTCTGGTGCTTTCATTTTTATTTCCATTGAACTGGAATATTTGTTTTAAAACACTACATTTATTTTAGCTGCATTGTACACCCACTAAATAAGTGCATGTGATAGGACAGTGGTAAACACTAGGGTTTGGACTTCTATGCATTTCTCCAGGATGATATTCAATACATTCCAGTTGAAGGGAAAACTTCTGGAAAGTTCAGACCTACATGCCAGAAAGTAATAGTGTAAGAATTCTCACCAGTGAATCTTTGGCAGATAATGCAACCCAACATAACAAGGACAGAGACCTGCTAGAAATTTATGCCTTAAAAGACCCCCAAAGTCAGTGAAGAAAAACATTTGTTTGCTTTTTACTTCACTGATACATGTTTCAAATTTGTACCCATATATGATGTATTTTAATTCTTCTTTACCCAATCCTCTGTTCTCTGTTCAAGAGAGAACAGGCCCAGCTGCAGGCGTGCATGCCAGTGCAGGCGGCACCAGCAAGAACAGACTGGGAAACGGGTGCGCACTCCTGCAGGCAGGACCTGTGGCGGGAGCAGGCTGAAGCAGGAGGGAGAATATGAAGCAGCCGCTGGTCATCAGGTGAGCATTATTACGTCCTACCACAGACAGGAAGAACAGAAGTGGGTGGGAGCATTTTATATCAAAGAGCTCTAGGAGAAAGCAGGAAACAAAAGACCTGCCCCAGTTCCTACACCCAGAAGCCAAGGTCATGCTCATAGGCTGCCGCACAAGCCCCACTTGAATGGAGTGCGCATTGCTGGATTCTGACTTGGAAACTGCCAGAGAACTATGGACACGAGGGCAATTTTCCTACTTTTATTTTCTTCTGTCTGGCTGTTTGTTCTCTGGTTGGTTTTGCCTGTTTTGTTTGTGGCTGTGTTACTTTGCCTTTATTTTGTCTTTTTCTTTTCTTTCAGCTTTCCTTTTTTTTTTTTTTTCACCATGTTTTTTTTTTTTCTATTCATCTTATTTCTCTTTTCCTCAACTATCTCCTGATTTGGTAGCTTCATACGAATGAATATTGTTTCTTGTCTTTCTGGTTTACTTCAATACCCCTTCACTTGCAGTTTCATTTTCTTGTCTCCTGTGTCCTCCAGTTTCCCAAAATTTCAATTATTATCCTTAAACCCCAGCCTTGCTTCTACTCTATTTGAATGTTTTCATCTCTCTGTCTTGTCCTTTATCTCTGTAAATTCTTCTCTCTTCCCACACAAGGTAAAATCACTCCATTTAGGGGGAAATCATTGCATACAAGTTCCTGATATATATTGCATTTTGTCATATAACTGTAAACTTTGCTCCTTGTTAAAGGTATCAGGTTGACAGTTACAGTTTTTCAGTAGATAGCCTGTACTTGATGCTACTATTATTGACAACTGTACTACGTTAGGCAGGATTTCATATATGTTATGTTTTTGTCCCTTGTATGATATTAAGGTGATTGTATGAGATCACAGTCACATTCATTGTTCAGGACCAAAGGATTGGGTGCCAAGCCAAATAGATAACAATTTTTCATCCTTAATCAATTGGGAAAATAGGTTTTTGGGATAGACAAAAGACATTTCCTAGGGAGTCCTAAATATTACTGATAAAGATGCCTACCATAAGAAACCAGCAAGCAAAACACAGAAAACAAAATAAAGTAAAAGGAGAAGATGAAAATATGCAGAAGCAAAATGCAACCCCAGACCCCCCAGCCCACCCATGACAAGCCCAGAGCACAGTGAGATAAAGAAAATCAAAAGCGAAGCATTGAAATTTTCCAAAATGATAGCAAAAGAGTGAAAAAAAAATGGAAGAGATCATAGAAAAAATCTCTCAAGTACACAGATAAATGGTGATCAAAATGAAAGACATTAAAGCAGACACAGATTTTTTAAAAGGACAGGACTTTGGAAACTGTGAATGCCCAATGTAGAAAAGAAATGGAATCCTTGAAACATAATCAAATAGCAATTCAGATTGAAATCACCGCTGAAAGTATACGCAACAGATCAAAAATCTCTAAGGATGGAATATCAGATCTAGAGTACAGGATTGGGGCTAGTGACTATGAAAAGAAAGATTCCTTAAATATTTTAAGAGATCATAAAAAATCCAATATTTGCTAGAGGAAGCAAAGAAGACCATCATAAGTTTGAATGGAATCAATGAAAAAGCTGGAGATGACACAAAGGCCATAAAAGTTTTCTTCACAGAATTAATGGAAGAAAACTTCCCAAACAGGATAAAGAATTTGACATGTACATAAAATGGAGTTTATAGAACTCCACACATCCAGGACGAAAGGTATGTCTATAAACCTATCTTCCTCAGGATAGTATGTATAAGCATCCATGTGTTTTGAGTAGATGACTACAGTGGCAAAGTAGGCATAGTAACTAGGACAAGTAAGATATTTTCACTGAAAAATCATATCTAAATTTAGCTAATCTGGAGTTCTAAAATCTTAACTCTGGACATATGTAAAAACACTAATAAGATTATCTACTGAGTTAAACAGACATATTTTCTTGTTCGCTATTAAGGCTTTCAAAAAACCTGCTATATTAGAATACAATTAGGGTTCAAATTTTAACATAGAGACATATGCTTATGTTTATACATATGAATACAGAAAGATATACACATATGTGTATATACACCCATATACATGGATATATAAAACTACTCACCTAAAACAGTAATCCAAGTAAGACCTTAGTACTAGTTTTAAAACCAAACTATTAAACACAGGAAAGAAATACAAGAGAATTATCAGTTCAGTGCCTGTCCTTGTTATTCTTATGAGTGTTGGGTACCTGAGAGTGAATTTATTTGCTGAAATCGTCCTTGATGCCTGCACATAATGGCAGATTATCATTTTTTCCTAGGTGACATGAACAACAATCTTTACACCTCTTCTGCTCTAAACTTTCTTTAGTATAATTGTAATATGAATAACTCATATTTATGGATTGTGTTGAACAGGAAAGCTTTTAACCAGGCAATTATAAAGCTAAAAATATAAAATTTCCCTATTCATCAATATTTCTTATATAATGCAACAGAAGCAACGTCAGGACCCAGGACTCCTTGGATTAAGTCTAATAGGATAGAAACCAGCATAGTTGTCAATGTTGAGTTACATAGTTACTATATTATACATTAAAATTGATTATAAATAAAATGAATAATTGCAAAAAATAGATGAGATAGTCTAACAAATGAAGCAGAAGACACATTGTTGGGAAAAAAAACAGATGTGCAATCAGAATGAAATGGTAATAAAAGAGAAACAGTCATCATACAATGTAAAATAGAGTATAGGAAGAAAGGCAGTAGCTTTTATGCATTTTTGGTAGGATATCCCAGTGAGAGGATACACTGGTATGTGTGTTACAAATAAAACAGAAATTTGCAAAAGTTTAATGCTGAGTTTTAAGATGAAATGATAAAGTAGGAAGAGTTATGTAGCACCTACATTTATTTTAGACACACATGTTAACTTACTGTATTTGTAAAATTCTATAAACTATTTTTACATGTGTTTAGACCCTCATATTTATACATATAGTAAAACTATAAAAATGAAACAAATAATTAGAAGTTCAAAGTTTAAGAAATGTCTTTGTCTCAGGTGGAAAGATTATACTCTGGCAGTATTAAATATTTCTAGATTCATTTAAACATTTTGCAATGCACAAATGTATTGAAACATCACAAAGCACCACATTACAATGCACAACTTTTATTTTTTGTTCATCAGTTAAAATTAATTTACAAATTTACACTTTTTAAATAGTCATGTAAGTTATAGCAAAGTGTTTTGCCAATTTAGTCACAGATGTAGGTACATACATTTCAGTATGGTTAGTAATTTTATTTGCACCTATTAAATAATTCATACTTTCCAATTAAATAAAATGATTCCAAAATTTACATATTAATAAAAGTATATTGAGTAACAAAAGTACAATTTCCTGCAGTCACTTAAATTTTTCTCTAGTTATCAAATAAGCTGACATGAACAATACTATATTGTGACTTTCAAAATGACCTTCATTGATTATTTTCATATAACACAGCCAAAAGTTTATGAAAAATTTTCTCTAGGGAAGTTAACTTCTCAATTCATATTGCCAATGAATGTGCTTTGGCAGAAAATTTGCCAAAAATGACATTTACTTTTCGGGAAATTATGATATCACTTAATAGAATCTTGGAGTATATAGCACTCAGACAACTGTCAAATCGGTCCTCGGCCTTGAGAGATCTGAATGTTCATTAGCAGAAGGGTTATATATTAACTGAAACTTAGCTATTCATTTCAAGATGCTGAATTAAGTATAGAGAGAATGATGAATCATTCTTATTAAAGGTGGCACAATGTTCAAGGTAATATGAATGCTACAAGCCCATAGCTACCTAAATCATTTTGCCAAATAACTGGATTTAAAAATGGTTTACAATTTTGTGAGATACCAATTTCTCTTTTGGAGTTCAGACACCTTTTCAAGAATTAGATCCTTCAATACAAGTATATCTAAAATTTAAGAAACTCTTAGAAAAGAAAGTTAGTTAAATTCATTCTTATATCTTTCCAAGTGAAAGGAAACAGCTAAACAGTAATTTAAAATATGTTGCAAAATATTTCAGTATAAGAATCAGGACATTAATAATCCTACTAAATTTTAGAAATAAGGTTTTTGCTTTTTATTATAATGTTAACTTTGGCAAGGTTTGGGAGGCCTGATTTTTCTGTATTCACATATATAACATACCAAATTGCTAAGCAGTCTATTTGAGATGAAAAAAAAAGTAATATTCATAATGTCAAGAAGAAATACTTAATTACTACATTTTTACTGCTTTCTTAATACGTTACTTGTATTTGGAACATCAGTTACCTCAATTGGCAAATATGTAATTGTGACTTTTGGTTTGTTTTTCCCTCGCTTTTAGAAAGAATATATTTTTCAAAAGTAGCCATAGTCTTTGTTTGTTTTTATAATCAATCCATATTATATCAAAATAATACATTTCAATAAATACTGGTGGGATAAGTGATTTAATGAATGAATGAAACAAGACACAGCTAGCTCCTATAATTAATGTTATTTTGTTATGCAAATATATTAGAAGAAATGAGACACAATATGACAAATAGTTGAAAGGTAAAGAAAATAGACTTTAAATTCTGGGAGAGTGGGGTTATGAGTGTGAATAATTCTTAGTAATTTCATGGCATTGGAATCCATAGAAAGCTTATGCACAGAGCTTTAAAATAAAATTAAAACAGAACCACCAATTGATATTGGAACTTGAACGTTGAAAATAATATCAACCGTTTTGCTAGATCTAAAATTTCCCAGAAAGTCTCATGTGTTCAAACTTTGTGTTTTGAAAGGTGCCTGGATCATCAGGGCACTACACCCATCAAGGGATTCACCAACTGTGAATTTAGCAGTTGAGTGTGCTCTTTAGAGTCTGGCTAGAGGCAGGTACCTGGGCCTTGACCTGGAGGCAACTAGGACTGTCTGGTCCCTATTCACTGTGTGAATTCTGACCACCGTAACATGAGCTGATTTCCTCCCATTGTTAGGGCCGACACCGCAGGGAAAGAGACCCCAAGGACTCAACTCTTGGTGAGGGAAAAAAGTTTATTTCCATGCGCATGGGGTCCCCCAGGCAAACAAGTGCGGAGGGCCCCGAAGGGGAATTGTGTAGGGTTTTTAAGGGCGCAGGGAGGCAGGCGAATTTACAGAAGCAGATTGTATTGGTTAATTTTGAGCAGCATAGGATTTGGCAGAAATTGATTGGAGGGGTTTGGGGTTGAGTAACCATGGAGACTGGGGGTCCTAGCCCAGTCACTATGTGCCCAGAACAGAACAGTTACTTGTCTTACTTATCTCATTGAGACAGAACAACCTTGCAGGTGCATTCTTTCTTTTTTTTCTCTGCTCTGATAGCTCTGGGGAGTTAGGCATTTCTTTCTGCTCTGCTCTGATAGCTCTGGGGAGTTAGGGAGTTAACCCTTTTATTCCCCCGCTCTGGGGAGTTAGGGAGTGAAACATTCTTTGCTGCTTTTTATAACTCGGGGAGGGGGTTATAGCAGGGGGGTCAACTCTCACACCATCAGGCCTTTCCATCATGCCATTTCTCTCTTGCAGACAGTGAAATGTTAGCCTCAATAAATCTTTTGTCCTTAAGGTTCTGGGTATTGAATATTTTGTCCCTGCAAGAAAGAAAGTCACCAAAATAGATTTTTATAAACAAAGCGGGATCGTTTCTGTAAATGTATCTGACTTACTGGCTTCCACTTGTTTGGAAGACATTCTTGGGAGTAGTTTGAAAATCTGGCAGAAAAATCTAGAATACTGTTTGCCAAGGTAGGTGTGAAATTCTGATCAGAGCTTGAAGAACAGAATACTGATAGAAATGCATACAGTAAAGCTAGTCTCAGGAAGTTTCAGTTAGGAATACGAACTCCATTGGCTGTTGGACTCCTGATCATCGGTGTCATACTCTGGCAAAAAATCAAATGAAATCTTTATCTAAAGCATGAGACTGTGCAGAAGGTTAAGATTAAGTATGATGGATTTAGAAGGCTGAGGAAATTTCAAGGCGGCCCAATAGTTCATCTATAGTTAGGGATGCTTGCTGTTTCTAGCAAGATGTATTATGAAAATGAGAAAAAAAATGACAGTTAAATTATTTTTAAAATTTGCAGTTTCATCAGAAATATAGCATGGGAAAGTTGGCAGAAAGGAGAGCACAGATGTTTAAAAGAGCCAAATTCTTTGCATCAGGAAAATAGGGAAATTATATGAGGAACATTTCATAAATTAAGCATACTTTACCCATCAGAAGACTAAAAGTCCAAAAATGAAAGAGTTTGATTTGGAACTAGAGCCCTGGAGAGCCAAGTTCATTCAGTGCTATCCAGGAAAGCATTTCCTGTAGTTTAGGCATCAGATGTCTTTGTATCCGTGATCCAAGAGAAACTGGAAACTGGTAGATCTGACCACAGACCTCCGCATTTTCCACATGGTGCTGGTTTTATGGGAAAGAAGAAGGTAAGAGCTGTGTGTCTTCTACCCAGATTTCACAAGATGGTAGGTCAAGCAGGGTGGCCCTGAAAGTAATGCTTTAAGCTGTAAAGAAGAAGCCAAAAGTGTAATGGAGGCTTGAGGAAGCTGAAGATGCCGAGTCTGAGGAACACCTAGTCAGAAAAGCTGCAGGTAGTTAGCAGAACCACCCCAATAAAGGCCAGGGGGGCTTCAATAGGCAAATTCACATGGACCGGGTTTCACAAAAACTTTGGTTCTCATATGTTTCACAACTTTCCCTGAGTGCTGGACACAGTGCTATAGAATTTAATGCTCACTATGCTGGGCTCCATTCTCACTTTGATCCAGTCTACATAACTCTCTGTATCTTATTTCAGTCTTTTGGAATAGAAGGTTTATGATGTGCCATTATATGTTGGTAGTATTTTAAATATTTTTAACAGTGGCTCATGGCTAAGAGTATGCCTTCAGTCTCAAAGGAAATTTTAGACTAGGACTTTTCCTAAAAGTAGTTCTTGAACTTTTAAAACCCTGGTGAGTTTTGGTGATTTGGTAAGTATATTTTACACTGAGATGATAAATCTTTTCAGGACCAGAACAGAATTGTAAGATTTACTTAAAACCTCCCCTAAATCTCAGGTGGGATAGTGAAGGTGAGTAGACCATGGCATCACTATGTTCATCACTGAATTCATCCTCTAATGAGTTTAGCAACTGCATGTGCTGTTAGAAGTGTAACCTGGCTAGGAGCAGGATTATGTGGGCATAAACTGAAAAGTACCATCATTCTCTGGCTTTTCTTTGCATTTTCTCCCTTTTGGTTACCATGACATGAGAAGCCTTTTCTTCCCAGGTCCTCCACCACCAGGCCTTTGTCTCAGAGCCAGTCAGCATGAACCAAAAGAGTAAGTGTTCTGCTCTTCAAATTGCAAATGTCAGGTGTTTCACCCCTGTGAACAGAAAAGAAACTAAAACACCAAAAATGTTTTCAAGGAGGAAAATCAAGATAACATTTCGCTTAATAATAATAAATAGCAAGAACTACAATAGTAGTTGTATAATTAATAATACTAGTTCTATAATATTGGTTGTTGGAGTGTTTCAGCCTATTCTTAACATGCATTTCAGTTTATTGATAACATCACCTAGTTATTCTATATGGAAAACTGTCTCATCTGATTCTTTGCTTTTGAGTCACCGAAACTATCTCAGAACTCCATTTTATTATTTATAAACTATTTATATTCAAATTTCTCCCTTTGAGAAACACTGAAATTAGAGTCAATGGGACTGAAAGCTGTAATTGATTAAATATGATATTGCACTCTAAAATTCAATTACAGAAACCCTAAACCCAGAGCACCTCTGGGGGGTGCTCACTCACCCTTTTTGTGTTGCCACATTGTTCAAGAATACAGAGCACACATGAAGGAAGCTAGAAATGGGAGTTAATTTGTCAAAACCTGCAGTCCTTGACTGCAGAAAAGGATTTTTATGGATTTAAAAATGAAACCAAACTGCTCCCTAAGTCTCAAAGAAAAAAATAAAAGAAAGCAGAGGCAGGTTTCCCTGAGAAGTCCACCTTGACCCCTCCTCAGCTGCCAGAGTCCCTGCCAGCACCTACAGCATCACTCCCCACTCCCAACTCACCTCCTTCCAGCCCTGCACCAGTTCCAGTCAGCCGCTGCCCACACTCAGCCACAGAGGTCCTCTCTCCAGAGCCTTCTGTTTCCTACACTGATCAGATAGCATCATTTAATGCTTACCCACAACAGCTGCAGCAATTCCTTCTGAGTTCTACATTTTGACCTAGAAATATAGGGCTGTGAGCCCTGATGAATGAGTTACCATGATATTTCCCAAAGGTCACTTTACCTTAGAAATAGCCCGATCAAGAACATCTCAGACATCAAAAAGGGACAAAAAAGCTAATCAACTACCATCACCCAGAAACCTGATTAAAGCATATGATGTCCATAAGAAAATTCAGCCTGATAGACAGTCACACCCTCTGGTTTCAGGCTATTGACACCAGAAAAATGTTCGTTCCATATGCAAGACAAAGAAACCTGACTCTCCAGCCCCCCTCAGCCTGAACCTCTTCTCTCCATGCTGGGGCTGGATAAAGAGGACAAACTGAGCTCTATCAAATTGGGCCCCTGAGAACCTGCAGTCACTGTAGAAGTTGGGACAAACCTGTGCCTCCTGATAGACAATGGAACAGAACCCTCTTACCCTCCGAAGTTCCCTCTGTCAAAAGTTACCATTTGGGGCAACTGGGACACTTATCTCTCACTCTTTCTGTGAGGCACTAACTTACAGCTTGGAAGGACACCTCACCAACATCAGTTCCTGTCTGAGAAGAGGCTTGCTCTTCAAATTAGAAGGGACCATCCCTTTTACACCTAGTCAGTCAGCCTCCCTGTCACTTGATCCCTGAGAGGAACACAATGCCTGCATGAGAAAATAACTGCTGTACTATAGTACAGCAATAGTACAATAGTACAATAGTACAGCCATCACTTTGCACTCTGTGTTTCCCAACCCATACACTTTACTTGCACTGCCCTAGTTCACTTGGACTCAATTGTCCTATGGAATTAAGGACTCTCCCATTACTTGGGGGGCTGGGGAGCCTGAGGACAGATTTGGGCAAGCCACCAACACCTTTCCTCTGAGACAGCCTATTTCTCTGTTTCCTTCAGCTCTGTTATGGTCTCCTGGGCAAACACTGTAGACTGTCAAATTGCTAAAATAGGCCTCTCCTGTGTGTAAGGCCCGGTCGGAATCTCTGAGCTAACAATGCTACAGCAGTTGGCCTCCATATGCACTGCCTCAGACTTTTGCCACCTGCTGTCTGCTGGCATAGCTGTCAGGACCTAAAGAATATCTCCTGCCTTTGATTTGCTCCTGTCAGCCAGTTCATGTTTGTTTTAAAATGGAAAGACCCACCCAGCATCAAAAATTATGTGTCCTCTTTTTCAGAAGCCCTCACAGATGACCTTGTTGATTTCCCATCACAACGTATTGCAGCACTTCTGACTGATGACTTCCAAGCTGCCTGCTGGAAAGACTGAAAAGCTCTGCACAATGTCTTGCACAAACTGACTACAAGAAAAAAATCCACAAATTTCTTAGAGCTTCTGCATCCTATAAAATGTGGACCCTTGAGTTCACTTAAACAATGATGCTTACTCAGGGCTGCCTACTCCTTTTTTATCTTCATGCTCTAATAGCTGCTGTCCTTGCGATTAAGAAACCTGACAAGCTCATCTTAGTCCAAGCCCTCACTGTCCAGGTGCCTCATGCTGTACTGGACATCCCAGTCCTGACATGTGTCTGCCCACCACGCTTGGCCCACCAGATTGTGCCTAAAATCTGACTCCCCCTGATGGATGCTGAGGAGACCCTACTTATGAATGAATGCAAGTGGCTCTGTCACGACAAGTTAGAGATGCTGTAGTCACCTTGGATGAAGTTATTTTGGCCAAAACTCTCCTACTACTGCTTCCTGCTGCTGTTTGGAAACCTGCTACCAAAATATTACATGAAACTCCACTAGAATGTACAATCTTATGTCTTATTGTATCCTCTAAAATAAATTTCACAAAGTGAATGAAACATAATGAAGAAATGTTCAGATAAAACAGAAAATAAAATGAAATAGTGTTTAAACTGTTTACTTCGTTATACACAGTTGTGCCTCTGCTTTGTACATAAGACACACAGACGCTTTGCTTTTCCTATTCTCACAGGCATTTTCACATCTTGAAAACATGGTTCTGTTTGCATGCCTGCCTCCCAATCCTTCTTACCTTTTTGGACCACGGAAATCTAATTGAAATATTCTCATCCCTCATTTCAGTGTTTTATTTTTGCATACTCTGTACTAAATTGTCTGACTGCAAATCCATTCTTTGCTGTGGCCTGTGTCGCATCCTCTTATTCTTGCTGATAAGTATTCAATTAATGCATAGGAATGAATAATATTGAACTGTTCTTACTGATATTTTTAGTTATCAAAATCGTTTAAATACATTAAAATACATATCAAAACCTTCATTCTTTGAAAACTAGTTTTATAACACCTTTGTTGTGTTTTTCATGTGCTGTTAGCTTTATGAGCAAATTCATAAGCAATAATGTTTGTGTTACAGTGTCTGCAGTGGTGGGAAAACTGACAGCAAATCGTGAAAGACTCCTTCCATCACACACTTGCATTTCACAATGAGCAACTGAAACGGTTAATATTCGGAACTGTAATTACAGGATTATTAGCTAGAAGTAAAGTAAACCTTGATTAAAAGAAGCTTGGACTATGTATTCCTCTAATGATTCTCCCACCTATAATATACAGGGGCTACAACTGTGTCAGTTCTTGCCAACATATTACAGGGACATAATTACATTGGCTTGTAGCTGTTATAGTGCATGTGAATGGATCTGTTTGGGAGTCTAATTTGCAGTTCCTTTATGCTTAATAATATTGAGCATATTTTTATGTCCGTATTTCCTTTATGACTGATAGTACTGAGCATATTTTATGCACAATTTCTGTACATGGTCCTAATTAGGCTGGTTTATATGAGTTTTTTTTTTCTGTAGTTTTGAAGGAGTATGTTATATTTGAAGAAAAAATTCTTCAATGGTTATAAAACTTGCAAATATTTTTAATGTATTATTTTCATAGTTTATTAGGTATGTATTTTAAACAAATACATTTTATATGGATGATTTGAATTTATTTTTAAAATGATTATTGCTTACTAGATACCACAAAATTAAAATCATGTTTTTTATTATAAAATATTTGTATTACTTTTACATTTATTTATATTTTAAATTATTTGCAATGTGCAGAATTAGAAAGGTATCCTTTCATTTTTCTGGTAAAAATGTTTGTCAATTTCAGTTATTTAAAAGATTACCTTAAGTAACTTAAATTGGGAAGATGGCATCAATTAAATAATACATAAAAATGCAAAGAAACATTTTGATATAGAACTAATTTTGCACTATTTTAAAACTTTCTATTGATATATTAGTTTTATACCAGTACCAACATTCTACTGATCATATTACCTTTACAGAAAAACTAGATAACAGTTTTTAAAAATGTCTTTCAATTTTGTCTATCTTGCATCTTTGACACTGATATTATAATAAATATTTAGAAACTATCTGGGTAGTTTATTAAAATTTCATATATTTTTAATGAAACTGAATTAATTTATGTCTATTTAAAATAAAGTGCTGCACATGATACTTTTGAATACAGAAAATATCCATATTAAAAATTAGATACACATTGTATTGTATACTAGTGCCTTTATCCATAGGAATATATTGCAATGTCCCTTATGTATGTGTGAAACTATGGAAAATCCTAGAACCTGTATACAGTGTTGTATTCTGTGTGCAGATCTGTAGCAAAGTTTAAGCTATAAGCACATTGAGAAATTAACATTTTCTCACTTACTATGGATTTTAGCAATCTCAATGTAAGGTTACTTTGCTTTCTCTAAGGAAAGAACTTATTGAGTCAAAAACTTTCACCTTTTTCCTTAAAGAAAACACTATGTCTTCTTTCAGGCATACCCAAATTGCCAACATAACTAATACTGTGTTTTGCACTTTTGCTGAGTTAACATAAAAGTCACTGGACCGCAAGAATGCAGTGCCATGATAATCTGAAAACCAAGATTTCTACTGTTACTGATTTAGCATGTACAATGTGGAAATGATTGAGAAAGCAACAGTTAATGTTCGAAGCAGGATAGAGAGGAATGGAAATAGATTTCATTGTAGTACTGTAAAGGGTGTAAAATTTAACCCTTACAAATGATTTATTTTTGTATAATTCCACAAATTACAGACACAAAGCCTGTAGCTAACTGAAAGTGTGGAAAGCAAAACCACAAATAAGAGGTGCTACAGTTTTTATCTTCAGTGCTTAAGTGTTGAAGGCTTGGTCTCAAGTTTGAGACCATACTTACAAGCGAAATGAATCAACCTGTCATGTATAAATACCATACAGTCTTCTTAGTGTAAGAAATGATAAGAATATATCAAAGTGTATGGTAATCATTATTCCCCATTATATTGCTTTGAAGCCTTATAATGTTTTCATTCATGATGGAATGGTTTTATTCTGGTTGTTTCATTTGGTCTGTGATGGTATGAACAGCTATTTTGATGAAAAGACATTATCATAGCTAGTGCTGATTTAATATCATTCTACCATGCTTTTGTTCTTCTGTCTCCATTGGTTTTATCACGTTATATTTCATTGGATTTTGTTAGGTGTGATAGTATAAACAAAAATTTTATGGACAAGGAGATAATATAGTAATCCTTGTTTGTTTTCTGTTAGTTGGTTCTGAATACCCTGTAATACTTTCAGTCTCTTGAATGATTTTATACTATTTTGTTAGGTTTGATACTGTAGTGTATGAAAGTATATTCAAATATTTCAATAAAAGAAACACTATGGTAGCTACTGTTATATCGAGTTGTCTTGCGGTGAAACTGTGTTGATTAAATTGTTCTGTTCTGACCTGTTTTGCTATGTTCTCTTTTGTCTTAATCTTTTTAAAATTAAAAAAAAGTGTGTTGAAGACTTGGTAGAAGAGAGTGAAACCTCTGATAGGTGGAACCTGGTTGGAGGTACTTAGGCCATTAGAACCAAAGCTCTGCAGAGGATCATGAAATTCAGTGTATTCCCTTCCCTCTACTCTTTCTTAGCCATGAGGTTAGAAGTTTTGCTTCACTGCACATACTGTGTCACTGCAAGTCAACAGTCCCAGAGACTGGAATCTCTCAAATTTAACCAGCACAAAGCTTTTCTTTTGTAATTATGTTTTTTTTTTTGTAATAATGGAAGGTTTAGTCACACAAAGAGAACTACTGCACATTTGAAAGGACTTGTAGTACTTTTATTATTAAACTCACTACAAACTGCATTTCGGTTATTCTAAGTGATACTTAAATTAACTATAATTTTCCAATTTATTTTCTAAACATTTGAAGATAATTTTGATGAAGTATATTGATCTTATACTTGAAAATTGCTGAATTCACTTATTAATTTCATTACTGTAGGCAATATTATTCAGAAATTTCTGCATAAAAGTTAAATAAGTAGGAAATTGATGTGTAATGACTAAAATCTTGGTGTTTTCTTTCTGCCTTATTGTATAAGCAAAGTAATACTGATAATGAGTGTAATTGCAAACAGCAAACACAAAAGCAATCATTTAATCATTCTTCATTAAGATTCTATTAGTATTGAATTAGTTTTTAACTCTAGAAACCTACAAAAATTGGACTGTGAGTGTAGAGTATAAGTTGAGAATGGTGAAAAGTGGTACTATCAAATAAAATATACCGTGGCACCAGATTTGACATACTGGTTATCTTAAAGTTAACTTTGAAGATTATATAAACTGTGTGCAACTCTTGCCAAGAAATGCATTTTTGTTACATACCATTGTGCAAATGTCTGAAAATTCTTTCTGTGAGCTTATAACACAAACTTTTAGCAAATGCATCTTTTCCTTTCTTATCAACAAGTTTTTCATGCAGGAAAAGATGGAGTTTGTTTTTTGGTTTATATTTAGCTTAGTTATTCTTGCTGATATATTTTTTATTATGGTTGATTAATGTTTATGTATTTGCTGTTTTGCTGTCTAACTTGAAACATCAAGTCCATTCATTTTAAGATAAATAACTGTAAAATACATTCAGATATGAAATGTAACTAAGTTAATGCATATGTCTAATATATAAAGGATATTGGAGCATATAATTTATTTATTAGAAGAATTAATTTTATTTTTTAAAATTTTATTTAAGGAGAAAAAAGACAAAAAACAGAAAAGAGGTACAAGTTATACAGAATTTCAGAAAAAATAAACAGTAGAAAATCACTAATTAATTACATATTGTCATCTTAGAAATAGTTGTTGGAGTTACAAAATTAAAGCATATAGAGGGGACTTTCAAACAGTGAGACTGCAAACAGTTTTGTTCAATGATCCAACAAAACTCAGTAATATGGTTATCTATCTTATACACTTAAATATATATGCAATTAAGTCTTTTAGAGAATTTTCTTTTCCTTTCTTTGTACAATGACAATTATACATTTTGG